AGCAATCCAAGCCTCCAGTGCAGAAAATCTCATCTGGAGAAATCACCCTGACTTGCCGCTGGGCAGGCTGACTGACACCGACACGTGTGGGGGCGGTTATGTGATATCATGCTAATCCAAATAAAGTCCCAAAAAGCCAATCCTTCACTCCATGAACCATGCAACGAAATGTAGAGGCAAGAGGGGCTGGGAGGGCATGGTGTCACGGCTCTTCTGCACATCCCACAAGTAGCTTTTACATTTAAAAAACAAACTGTGATGATTTTGCATTCTCTCCGCTACATCTTTAGTATCACATGAGCTCATACTTACAACTGTTTCTTATGAGTCGCTGTTGGAAAACAAAATTCACCAAAAAAAAAAAGAATGAGGAAAAAAAAGGAGGAGGCGCTCCTTTGATTTGAGAGCAATTTAACACATGGCAGGTGGTCTTAATGAGTAGGATATTTCCCCACACCCGGGGGTTGCTGTCTCTCCAGCTTTTTCTTAATTCTCTAATAATTCATATTTTGGTTGGGTTGCTTTTAGCTGTTAAAGTTATGTAAAAGCCTAAAGTGCCTTGCAAAAGTCTTTACGCCTCTGGACTTGTTTTTTTTTTGTCCATAAACTAAGGAAACCAATGTTTTTACGTGTAACCATTCAGGACCAGATTTTGAATAACATTATCAAACTTCCTATTTGAAATCAGGAACCATCCAATCGAATAAAGAGGAATTCAGAATATGAATCTGACAAAGGTATTGGATGCCAGCTTTTGTGTGATATTTTAGGACTATATATACGCTGCAAATACCATCGATCAGTAATACTGTAAGTTTGGATCCACAGACATATGCTGTACATTTTGGAACACTGGCCTCTTTTAATAAAGGTTTGTTTTTAATAAAGTATTATGTCTCTCTATGGAGTCTTAACCTCTCCCAGGTTAACACTATAAAAATTAACTAATCTCCACTTCGCTGACCCTCAACTCCCCCTGCAGCTCATCCAATAACCCAAGCAGGACCACCCTCTCAACAGTATGACATCAGGCTGCTCTCACAGCCAACAGCAACCTGCTCAGGTTACCTTGACCAAGTGTGGAAAGGAGCGCTTATCCGCTGACAGCCCCACTGCATCACTCTGCAGCACAGAGTCTGTCCCTGCACCCCGCACGCAGGAAAACAAGCCTGGCAAGGCAGCTGAGGCTCTCTACCAGAGCTAATATTGTGGTCTGTTCCAAAAATAGAACCATAGCTATTCTTGCAACTATGCTATAGCCCATTCAAGTGCACTTTGAGTGTCAAGGAGTGAAAACAACAGGCATGTTTAGTCTGCTTACCCAGTCTAAAAATGTAGTGTAAATACAACTAAACAGTTTGGGGATATATTCCACACACCACATAAGCAGAGTATCAATGGGAATGTTATTATGAAAGGGGTGGCTTTTATGACTTAATACCTCATTGCAATAACAAAGCATGAACCTGCTGTATCCAATTGCATGACAGCTCACACTGATGCATCAGACAGTCTGTAGTAGCGAGAAGAAATCCCTGATGACATCATGAAGTTAATAAACATTTTGATTCCCGGAGAAAAGATGGACAAATCTCATACAAACCCTCATTGATAAAAGAAACTAATAGCCGATCATATCCATCAAGCAGCCCCCAAGGGTGCATGGAAAAGAAAATAATAAAGCAGCAATTAGTATTAGAAGCTGGGAATACTGTCGAATAGGCTAATATACAGTCTGAGACAATAAGGTCAAAACCAGACACTAGCATGTTCCAAAAGTAGCCATTTTCCTTAAGAAGGGATATTATGTCAAGAGGCATATTTTAAAAAGCCGGCAGATATAACATGCAAGTCAAACCCAGTTCTTTACAGGCCTGTGGGATAATCAATTGGTAATTTTGGGACGCCCTCGCGCAGACAAAAGAACGGTGCCGCGAGGTGAATGATGGTGCGGTGTTTGTCTCGTTTCCCAACATCACCTGTCCCCACTTCCTTCCTACCTAAACCGCATCGTCCGAAGCAAAACAAGCACCCTCGACTCACCCAGTACACCAGAGGAGGCTTGCGGCGGGACAGAGCCCGGCTCCGGCCTCTCCTGGTCCCCTTGCTGCGCTCGGTGTCGGTGCCGGGAGCTCTCGCTGCCGTCGCCGGCGGTGGTCGCACCACTGGCGGCCGCCGCGACCGCAGCGCCGGCCCCTGTGTCGGGCATGCTCTCTATCAGCGAGGAGCAACGGAAAGTGTAGATATTCTCCGGATTGTGTAGTGGTATCGCATCTCAGGAGGGCAAAGCATGGGTGTAGGTGGCTTGGCGGCCGGCGGGGGTCCGAGTGAAGGGTTAAATGAGAGTGAAAGTGAAGTGAAGGTTGTCGGTGTTGGTGCGGCGGAGGATCATCCCGGTGGTGCTGCTGTGGAGGCGCAGGATGCGCGGTTAGAGGAGAATGCTCCTCCGACGACTACAGAGGAGGGACAAAGAGAGGGAGGGCGGGGAGGGGGGAGGGGGGGGCTGGGTGACACACATCAACACTCACACTCACACACCTTGCAACTATTTACTACTGTAGGCTGCAGATTTTATGATTCCAGATGAAAGAAAATATAGGCCTACAATAATTCAAGTATTCCCTCTTCAACAATGTAAGATATGAAGTTCATTTGGAGAGCTTTTAACACAAATTCACTTCCTACTTTAATATCAACCCCCCCCAAGAAAAAAAAATAATAATAATATTGGCTGAAATTAGTGATATTAATTATGTGATCACAAGTGTTATTAATACTTTCAAATATTTTTGCACCCACCTTCGAATTGAAAACAACAATCCTCTCTGCAGCTTGTCTCATGAGGCAGGTGGTTCCTGCAGGTAGACTCCCCTGTGAGTGTGACAGCACTATCCTGTCCTGGAAGATTAAATAGGCCATGACTTATTTATTAATGCAAAAATATCCCCATAGATTAAATTTTTAGAGACACTCAGTGTTAAAGGACAAGGATCTCCACTTCAGTCCACTGGACTGTCAGTGTATGCATCAGCTGTATAATAACCATTTTCAATTCAGGACCTGCTGCGTTATTACGTCACCACTTTACCATAAGCAATAATATCTACTACAAGGCAAGCTGTGATGTCCTCATGTCTGATCAAAGATGTTTTGTTTATTTTTTACGATAGACAGACAACAGTTGACCTAAGGCAAGCCTCCAACCAAACACACCCTTCAAAACAAACAGTGGTGGTGCAGACAAGGTCAACAGGTTAAATACATGTTTCTGTCATTTATGTACATAGACAATTTGGGTGTAAAGACAGAGAAGGTTATGTGTTCCTAAAAAAGGAAAACTTAAACATCTTCAATCAGCTTTTATCAGATTCGATTAACAGCCTTTTTTCCGGTGAAAAGAGACCATGATGTTTGTGTGTTGATGGTGCTAAACAGCTGTGAGGTGGCAGCTGTCATGCTCCATGCACACAATGAGCCTCCAATAAATAATTGAGATCCCAGGTTAAAGATTGGTCCCTGGGCCTCAGGCCATGTCTCATCAGCCTGTACACAATCCATCGCTAAGCCAGCCCCCCCTGGACGCCGGGTTTTCTCTGTTAAACCATCGAACAGGAAGGTAGCCCTCCCCCTCGTATGGCTCACAGCTCAGAAGTATCTCGTCTTCGAACAGAAATTGTGCTTACTCACCACCCTCTGGCTTGACAGCTGCAAGGAACTGCAGTGGGACACACACACACACACACACACACACACACACACACACTGTAATCTTTACTCTGTGTTTTTCCTGTGAAATTCATTATGTATGTGGGCCATGAAGGATTACATTAGACCTACACTACCTATTATTATAACCACACATATATAGCTAAATGCCAAATGATACTTCAGATTTCTAGGTTAGTGGATATGAAGAAGATGATTTAATAAAATAATAACATAAATTACCAGTGTAGTAGATAGAAAATGATGACGCTAATGAAACCTATTGCAGCAGCCCTTACTGACTTATAAGGCTGATAAGTCAGAAACACATATCTTCTGAATATCTTTTCGTGATCTAAGTTTCCTCGAGAAACTTTCTACGATATGACTTTGGGTCTTCCTCGTCTATCTTGTCTTTAAACAAAAAAGAACAGTGTTTTAGCAGGAATAGTCTAATTGTTTTGTATCCTATGATTTAAGTGTTCCTCCAATGGAGTGACCACAAACAAAAGAGCATATAGATACAAACATATAGATAGAAATCAGTCAGCAGCTGCATGGGGACATAATACACCGTTGTACATTTTACTTGTGGTTTATATGTTGTTTCTTAAGATGACTCAACAAAAAAAGACATACAAATAATTAAGTGTAATGCATGTGAAACATTAATCAAAAGGTAGTTGAGTTGGACAAACCAAACGATTATTTTCCAAGAAAAGATAGATTCAATTAATTAGCCTATAATTGTCTGTGAAATTTACTTAAGAGTAGAGCATGACAAAACATTTTTAATTAATAATCAAAGTAGCAGTGCAGAAGCAGCCCAAATCACTTTGTGTCTTGTTAGCTTGTCTGACATTATAAATATTGTTAACTGTTGTATGTGTGTATTGTTAAGTGCTTTTGTATTAAAGTTGTGTGTGATGTGGGTCTTTTGTCTATTTTAAAGAAATTCCCTGAAACTATTAATTATCAACTGTGTTAAAACGGCAATAAAGTATCTTATCTCATTAAGTTGTTTAAAAAAAATTCTATCCCTGTGGTATTCTCATGAAAAAAAAAAAAATACATTTAATGATTACAGATTGATGAAGACAGCTTAAATCGGAAGCAGTAGGAAGGCCAGTGTTGAAGAGCAACGGTAGCTACACGGTCCGGTATTGATGGTGCACAGTAGGCGGGACTCCTGTATGATTGACAATGTTCTCATCAAATCAGACTTTAGAATGTGCAGACGCAGACCAATCACAATCAACAACAAGACTCCACAACTCGTCGTGGTAAATGTGAACTACTGTCGGTGAAGTGGAGTGTCCTGAGGTCCTGTGAGGGCTTTTCACCGGAGATGTTTTGCAAACACGGTCAATGGACCGTCTCTGTTTGCCAGTCAACGTTTTATTAACAGGCTACTTTGTTACAGCTGAGCTTTTTATGGGTTTACATTTGATGTTTCTGTCCAGGAAAGAGCTTATTTTACATGTCAGTCTTTAGAATGAACCACACGAGAAACAGCCAGTTCGTTTGGTTTTAGTCACTTACAATTATGCTCCCATCAATTTATAATGGGATAAGGAGAGCTGCTTTCCACACACTAAGGACAAGGTTTGTTACTAAACTTGATTTTTTTTTTTTTTGCCATTAATCAAGAAACCGTCCATATTCTTATTTGTATTAATTCTTGCCTGCTTATTAACACTTCAGAGGGAAGTTAAAGGTTATCAGGTGACTCAAACATACAACAGAATAAAATTATGACCAACAATCTTAGTTGAGAAAGTAAGATGAACATTTAAGAGCAATGGTGTTTTAGTTTTGATTTATTAACCTCAAAAAAGTTGATAAAAGAGGAAGAAGAAAAAACCTTTTCTGCTCATCAGTTGACATTGCAATATTATTTATTGTTACTTTGCTGCTTTTTTTTCCATTAATTTAATCTTTCATCTCTCTACTTTTCTTCCACATTTATTAAGCTTTATATTTATTATTACCCTTTATTTTGATATTTTAACAAACCACATTGTTTTTTTGCAATGTGAGTTGTCCTTTTGAGATGTCTGACACACGTTTTAATGTGTAAAGAATACAACAATACAATGTATCCTACTGTATGTGTGACTTTTATCAGTCCACTATATTTTCAAATGTTTTTTTTTTATGTCTTTCTGTTTACCTGTCTGCACCAGGGGATCTCAGCCTTGCAGATTCCAGTCCACCTTCGATGGACTCCCAGCTGGCCTGGCTGATGCCGAAACCATCTTTGCCTTGTCTTCAGGCCATGGCAGGTGTGGGGTGGCTGTGGTGCGAGTCAGCGGTCCAGCTTCAGCTACAGCTCTGAGGTGTATGGCTGGGCTAACTCGCAGCCCGCCTCCTCCACGCACCGCCCTGTTACGCAGCATCACAGACCCTCAGTCCAAGGAAGTGCTGGACCGCGGACTTGTCCTCTGGTTTCCAGGTTTAATACATTTCTTCTTCAGATTTCTGTCATTGGCGATGTGGATTTAATGTGATCAGACCTTTTTAACACACTGTGAGCTGCTATCATCTTCTTGCATTAGATGTTATCGATGCATGAAAATCTTATACATAATGTTTTATTTCAATACTTTATTGGTAGCTTTTTTTCAGAAGAGACTAAACAATCAAATGGTTAATACTTAAAAACATTAACAATAATTGCCTACCCCTGCACCTCCCTGCACATGCAAGGGAGAAAATAAATGCAAAATACACATGTGCACACACATACAAAAAAACAATGTTTTAACTGGAATTGGAATTGGAGCTGTGATGCAGTCAAGGAACAGGTTTTTTATTTTTATTTTTAAAGATTTATTTTTGGGCTTTTTGTGCCTTTTAATAGATAGAAAGGACAATAGATAGAGTCGGAAATCAGGGAGAGAGAGTGGGGAATGACTACGGGAAAGAAGCCACAGGTGGGAAGTGAACCCAGGCCGCCCGCTTGAGACGACAGCCTCCATACATGGGGCGCGCGCACTAATCACTGCGCCACCAGCGCCCCAAGGAACGAGTTTTATAAGCCTAATGTTGAAAAAAGAAGCATGAGCTCCTGGTCCACTAAAATGTGTAGTTAATACTATGAAGTTTTCAGTCTCTCTTGGCTTTAATGACATGATCTGTCATGTTTCAATTGTTTTTGATTAATTTCACTAAAAGCAATTGTGAGTCATTAACTTACAAGCTCCTGAATATTATTGAGTCTTGTGACTGTCTGAAGTTTTAGCAGTATCAACTACTTGAATAGCCAAAGTTTAATTTAGGAATCCTGAACAGAAGTTTCTAAAAGCGTACTCAGACTGTGTTGTTCCTCTCTTGTGTTCCTCTCATCAGCTCCTCACAGTTTCACAGGAGAGGACAGTGTGGAGTTCCACATCCACGGCGGTCCAGCTGTCATTACTGCTGTGTTACAGGCTCTAGGTAACGTGCAGATGCCATTACATGTTGTGATGCAATATTATACACCTCAATATAATGCTTTATAACACACACACACACACACACACACACACACACACTGTGTCATGTGCTGTAGTGTTATTTTTAGGGTGTTATTTATGTCTTTAGAACCATGACTGAGCTGTAAGCTTGCACAGTAACTTGTCGGGTCATGTTGCCGTCCATCACTTTCACTTAAAAGGGAAAACTGTCGAATGTGTTCCCATTTCAAAGATACTTATATAAATGTTCCATGACAAGCAAGACAATCCCACTGTGACTGACATGTAATATTTCACTGCAGTTCTCCCAGTGGCCTTCCAGGGGGCAGTATTGTATAAATAAGATGTGTTACTTAAAGCTTCTTTACAGATAGTGTGAGGTTATTACTGATTAGGAAAATACTGGCGGGATTTTTTTTCCCCATAACAATGCTGAACAATTGTTGGACATTTAAAATGAATTTGAAGATATTGGTGAAATGATTACAAGCCAGTAGAATAAAACATGAAATGGGGTTGCTGCTAAAAATCATGACCCTCATTAATTTGGGTTCAGTGCTCCCTGTTGTCTCCAGGTAATTAGATCTCAAAAATGGTTGTGAAAACAATGAAACTGTCACCTCATTAACCTGCTAAACAGTTCTCAGTTTTTCTGAACCCAGAGTGACTTGTTGACATTGTTTTTTTGTGTGTGTGTGTGTGTGTGTGTGTGTGTGTGTGTGTGTGTGTGTGTGTGTGTGTGTGTGTGTGTGTGTGTGTGTGTGTGTGTGTGTGTGTGTGTGTGTGTGTGTGTGTGTGTGTGTGTGTGTGTGTGTGTGTGTGTGTGTGTGTGTGTGTGTGTGTGTGTGTGTGTGTGTGTGTGTGTGTGTGTTTGTGTGTGTGTCTCTCCGTCCGTCCTATGCATTTCTCTTTGTTTGTATGCCATTTGTGTTGTTGTGTGTATTTCTCAGGAAGCGTGCCTGGCATGAGGCCTGCTGAAGCCGGAGAGTTCACGCGGAGAGCCTTTGTTGCGGGGAAGCTGGGTTTAACAGAGGTAGGTCAAGAAGAGCACATAAAAAAAACTCACTGAGGCAGATCTGTGCAGATTTTTATGTCAAGAGCTCTTCAGAGTAATTTTGTGAGGTGCATGTGGATTAAAGAAGGTCACTGCATTGAAAGTCAAAAAATGAACATTCGCCCTCTTTTACATATTTTGCCCTTTGAACGCGACTTCAATTTGGTTGTCAAACATTTATACAAGAGTAAGGCTACTGGGCTTCTTTTTGGTAAAACTGCCAAGTATGTAGCGCAAGGCATTTATAAGGAGCTGACCCGAATAGCAAGTTGCAATATACTCTGAGTAGATTTTAATGTAATACACCATGCTGCTATTTATTCATTAATAGGCAATGCAAATGTGTTTCTAACCACATGACAAAAAATGCCTTTAAATGTAGAAAAATGCTCCCTCTGAATAAAACAAACCCACTTTATCTCATCATTGTGCTCTTGAAATATGAATTGTAAAATACGTGTATGAATAAATATATTACAATAAGTAATGTATGGAAACCGTGTACTGACATGCTCCCTGAAGGTGGAGGGTCTTGGGGATCTGATCCACGCTGAGACGGAGGCTCAGAGGAGACAGGCACTCAGGCAGATGTCAGGAGAGCTGGGACATCTCTATCAGGACTGGAGCCACAGACTCAAACGGGTAGGTTTACCTGTAGTACACAGACTGATGGTGTAGAGAGAGGTTTCATCAATCATAGGACAAAAATATGCCCTATCCAGGACGGGAGTTCTGGGCTTAAGGGTGTGGATGTTATATATGTTGAAAGCTGTATACCTGCATGCTCTATATTAAAAAACACATTGAGATGATATTTGATATCTGATTATATATGACATTTAATCAGAATTACACGTACTGTAGAAACCTGTTTGTGGTTGATAAATCTCCAGTTTTACGCACAGATCACACACGACCTTACTGACTTGACGGTGATGTTTTTTCATCGGTAGTCTGACTTTTAACAACAGGTCAACAATGAATGAAAAAAAACATTCTACCTTATTGTTAGTAAGCTTGACAACACAAGGCACAGACCAAATCGTCCCTGGAGAGATTCTGTCTATGTCCATGCCGACATTTCCCTGAAAGCAGTTTTTTGGGAAGAACGTGTCTGCACTGTGTTGTAGGTCAGCCCTCTGTAGTTTCACACCTCCACAATACTTTCTGTTGTTATATAAATCAAGTTCTGATGGATTAACTTGAGGGAATAAGAGGCTTCCTGTTTTCCTGTTTCTGTGCTCCAGGTGTTTCTGTTTAATACTGAGGATGAAAACACTGATCTTCATGGCACATGTAGATTTCTATCTTACATTGTCAACAGGAATGTGAAAACTGGGAAAAAAACAGGATAAAAATCATGGATAATAGATTTCACATGAGATCACAGAAGGGAAAAACTTACTGGAGTTACAACAAGACCTCGTTTTTTTTTTATTTCACCCATTATTCTATAGTGAAGTAATTGTTAATGAAAGCTATAATATATTACAAACCTTTGAAATACTGGTATTACATTTCCCAGAATATAAAAGCCTTTTATGAACAACTATCTTAGGCTCGCTGATCTGTATGGTCACATTTCTTGTTTTTTTAAGACGGTTAATTTGATGTTGTTATTTTCATTATGGGATAACGGAAGTGGCTCAGGGATCAGGATTGGGTCAGATTTTCTTGAGGAAAGCTGCTTATTACCTTAAAGGACACATCTCTGTTATGGCTTTGTGACTTTCCAAAATGTTTTGGTAATAAATCAGATGACACCCATCTGATGTGTTTTCCATGAGTGAACATCTGGCTTTGTATTTTTCTGGGTTGATTGTAGTTTATTATAGAAACTGCGGCTGCTGTGCGTGTTTATTGTGTGCCTGTCACTGAGGACAGACGCACAATAAAGACATTGATGGATTCTGTGCAGCAGTATTGTTTGGCTTATCTGTACAGTATCCTGTTTTATACTCTATGTATAAATACGTGTCACAGTTGGGTCGGCGTTTAAGGTAAGATAAATGGTAGTGACAGAAGAATGAAAAAGTGAAGCACAGCTTGTAGGAAATGCTGGGAAGTATTATTTTTTTCTGCATTTTTGTCTTAATTTGGAAGCAGATATTGTAGAAGCAGAGATAGTTGTATGACATGCAACAAAGGTCTCAGCTATCAGGATAATCCTTACTACACAACAAGCGATACTTTCTTTCTTTCTCAGCACGAGTACATACTACCTGTTAGATGGAGTCCTTATGCCAATGATTTTACAACAATCGCTATGTAGTCTGATTGATCTAAAGCTAGCTATCAGCTCCTGTCAGATTCATTTAATGGTAAGAAAAGCAAGTGCTTTTTAGATTTTTGCGGGGTTCAGGAGGTGCATGTAAAGAATTTTGTAAAACAGGCAGATAGACAAAAAAGTGTATAAAAACGATGAATTGTAGCTTATATGCATCCTTGAATTCTTGTCTTTTGTATCATACTCCTTATTGTGCAATAAAACAATATCAAACAATATAAAGTGTGAAAGGATTGTTTGACTGTCGCGATAGACTCCATATTGTTGTCACCATAGACTGTATAAAACATGGACATGGTCTCAGACACGTCATTTATTGGTTACTAAAGGGGAGTTTTGAAGCCAACGTTAGTGGTCGCCATAATGAAAACGCTGTCTCAACCAACTTTGGGTCAAGCTAGTAACAGTCAAAGGGGTGGAGCTGAGGCGGGCCTTAAGCCTCCTGACAAACGGCTACAATGGGGCCTTCTTGCAGCCCCAATTATGCAATACCCATATCCTTGATTAAATCTAAATGGATGAATTATAGAACAATTCAACCCCTGTACGCTGTTCACCAATAAATCAAACCAAAGTCGCTTTTGTACCAGGCTGTACATTTTTTTATTTTTGCTGTAAAAATGGGGGATTTTAACTTAATGTGTAATTGACAGCTTCGAGTCGAAACTTGAGGAACTGCATTTTTCTGCTCTTCCACATTGGCTTCATTTTTCAGCACCAGACGTTGCCGCTTGGTTGTAACAATACTGAACAATGTAACTGCACATTTTTCTCATAATTTGGAGGCCCACCCATAACATCTTGTTATGGCCGTTTACATCAGCAGGTCACCGACTGCAGATGAACACGTCAACTTAATGGACTCGGGCCAAACCCTTCTCTGCTGTGAACTGTTTTGTAGATTGTATGTTTCAATACTTTGGCACAAGATCTGAGCAACTCAGTCCAGGTGATCTCCCGTGAGAATCTGTGTCAGGCTGCTTGTCTGCAGCTTTCTCAGGACAGTTCCTAGAAGTAATTTAAAGTAGCGTTTATTTTGGACTCTGATTTCTTAGAATCAGAAGTATACCATTTGTATCAAAGTATGGGAATCTGATGCTTCCTGTTATTGTGCAGCTTTACTTCTCTATTTATGGTCCCCAATGTCAGTCATGCTGTTTTGGGAACATTGAAGATATCCCCCTCTGTTTTCTAGATCCAAATGCAACTCCAAATATAACATTAGGTCAAAATAGTCCTGGAAAAGACTAGCTGAAGCCCTGTATATTTGAAATGTTAGAATCGATGCACATACACTATACAAATATATGAACTGTGTTTAAAACAAAGGTCTGAAATAGTTGCTTATCTGTGAAGGGTTAGGGTTGAACAGGCTGAACAGAGTGTATACTCAATCTAGTAGGCTGAAGAAAAAGACAGATTGAATGTCAACCTGAGCTCTGTGAACTTGTGACTTCAAATCTAAGGTAATCAAAGTATCTTTACTACACGACCACAAAAGTCAAACATCCTATCATTAGGAAAACAAATTACTGAATGTTTTAAATACATGCTGAAGAAGAAGGGAGTCTTTTGAATATTTTTTGGATCAGTATAGATTACAGTACATACTGTAGGTATCACAGATGGCACAGTTATAATCTGTATTCAGTGTAAGCATATTGGCCCCTATTCACCACCACCTGCTTGTGTGTGCCAGCTGGTCAAACTGCACAGTACAAATAGTACATTGTTTGATTAATTATTGAGATCCTTAAATAATTGATTGAGATATTTTCTGGCTGTCAAACGTGTTTATTAACACAAACTTGTATAACAAACACTGACGTCTTCCCTTCTCTCCTCTGTGCTCCGTGTGTCCCACAGTGTCTGGCTCATGTTGAGGCTTTCATAGACTTCAGTGAGGACGAGCTTATTGAGGACGGGGTCTTAAAGCAAGGTATGGCTGCACTGTGTTCTCTGTGTGAGGGAAAAAAAATAGAGAACATTTGTTCCCTGGGCTTTCAGAAGGGGTGAATGGGGTCATATAGGGTTCTGTTTCTCTCTGAGGAGATGAGGGGTCCGCCTGGCTTTCCTGTTTGGATCTTCAGCTGTCCATCGTGCACCTTTTGCAGCTCTGTAGGGAAACGCCATGGGCATCAAACTGCTCGAAAGAGAATTTCCTTAAGGAAGTGTGGACAGAGCGCCAGGGGAACAGTGGAGGCATTCGTCTTACCTTCAAAGCCAACCTGACACGTCGCTCACAGGAATAGTGCTGTCAGCAGCAGTGTACAATCCAACTGTTCTTTCTGTGCCTAGGTTTCCCATGCTTCCAGTGTGTGTGTGTGACTGTGAGCTTGTGTGTTTGTGTGTTTGTGTGTAAGGGATGTCCCCCCTGAGCCTGTCTAGCACTCCTAAGCCTCAGATGTTGTCGAGTTTGGACACAAAAAGCCTGTGAGCTTTTGTTTATCCTGGTGCCATGGGATGAGGGCTCACACCCCAGAGAGGGGAATATTAATAGGCTTGTTTTTTAAAATTTTAAATCTGGTTTTAATATTTCCATTTCCCACCTGTAGGCATATAAAACAAACCAATGACTTTAGTATCAACTTTGATGTGTTATTGTGCAATCACGAGTTTCTAGAGGAGTAAATACATATTTCAGTCTAAGACAGTGATGCACTGCTGGTGAACTGTATTGCTAAAAGCACTAAACAGTTTTTGTCACGTGCGGAAAATGACTTGTCCGTGACCCATTTTTTTCCCCCGTCCAGACAGTTTGTCAGACGACGGAGGAGAGGCTGTTTTCCCCTCAAAGGACAGAAATTCCTTTGACAAGGCCATGAAAGTGAAGTTTAACAAGTAACCTATGTCACATCCTGTTCCCTTTTCTGTCTTTATCTCCCTCCAACACCCCTCCATCATCTCACAGTGGACGGATCTGTTCGTGATCTGCAGGCAGAGATAGAGAAACACCTGAAGGATGAGAGGAGGGGCGAGCGGCTACGCGGCGGAGTCCAGGTGGTGATCGCTGGAGCCACCAATGCAGGGAAAAGTAGCCTCCTTAACACTCTATGTAAGAGACACACACACACACACACACACACACACACACACACACACACACACACACACACACACACACACACACACACACACACACACACACACACACACACCTTGGAGGGATTAAGATTAAATATGACATCATACTATTTTCGTAATACAGACCCTTATACGGCTGTCAGCCATGGTTAGGGGGAGAAGAAGAAGAATCCCACAAACTCTAAGCAGCATTGACCCACATCATTTTGTGAAGTGTGTATCATTCATTGAAATGCAAATACTCTGCTTCACAGGCAGACAGTGAGAGAACCTTTTCTCCTGGTCGAGACAGCATTTTGTGAGAGCGATGTTTGAAATTATGAAAAACATTTCAGACTTGATATTTTCTTCAGAAATCATTAGTGTTTCTTCTCTAAAATCTAGCAAATCAGCCAAAGAACATATCACACCTTTCTACCAGGGACAGAGCATATGGGATGTTTGGGGCTGAGATACCGAGATTAGGGTGAAAACAATGTCAATAAAGATATATCCACCACTATCTTTCTGAGATCTATCTATGATCTTTAGAAATAGAGATACTGATATTCACACACATTTATTGCATTGATCCCTCAGATGCTGTGGTCATTTCTTGTGATAAAGATTTATAATTAAGACAAGGTTGTTTTTTTTTGCTTTTTTTTTACAGTTGGACAAAAGTCTTTATTGGCAAGATTAACAACAATTAACAATTTTAAATAAAAACTATCTGAAAAATAAATAATAGACTTAAATTGAATAAACCAAGTTATATCAGCACATACGGTATTGGAGATAAAATTAGTCAATACCGATATTATCAGCTCTTTTTTCTACTAATAAGTCACAATAACAGCTTGTATAGCAGTATTTTCTATACAGTACTGTCTCAGAGGGGTTTGATTTATCTAAAAAAAAAAAAGAGACATCTGTCTCAGTTCATAAACAAATTAGGGCGCGTTCTTAAAAGTACAGAAATGTAATCTTATTATAACTAAACATATGATCAAAAAACATTAGATGCTACTCTATTAATTGCCATTTTTCTTCTTCTTCCTAAAGATTCTACTGTATGTATAATTGTTGGGCACCCATTTAGTCTCTGTGGTTCCGCAGACAAAACTGGAGTCAAAGTGTGCCCTCAGCTACAACCAACCACGCTCCAAAGAGGGTGGTCAATGTCTTCTAGACTTGAGTTTTTGAGTTTGCCTCCTCAATATGTTGAAGAGTCCAGATCTTGTTGTAGTGCGTCAGCTTCTTTGACAGCAAAAAAAAAAAAAAAAAAAGAATTCTTCAAGAGTTCAACTATTTCTGCCAGACATAATTAATATGTTGGAATATTTGAAACGTGAATTTGAAAGGTTAGCATTTGAATGTCCTCTGTAAAGCAGTTCTTCATTCATGTTTCCACTTTGTCGTCCTAAGGAAACCCTTATTGTTGTTGTAAAGGTATGTTTGTTTAAGATGAAGTATCCACTAAACATTTAGAATCACTTCATGTAAACTTGGCAGGGTGAGGCTTGGCAGGGCTTCCTCACAGTTTCCTATAAATATTGCACATATTTATCAAACTTGAGATTGTTATCATTTCCTGTTCTGATTAGTCGTCCCTGCAGCTTAGACTTAGAGTCCTAATGAGCTGCAGAGTTATACCACGTGTGCTGAACAGTAATGTAATGCTGAGATCTTCAGCATGTGCAGTTTTTTTTTATAATGCAGTTATGTCTCATATTGATGAAATTAAAGACAATGATTTGATTATCACATTTGCATATGTTTTAGCTAATGTGCAAGAAAACACATGAAGTTCATCCTGTGTGGCAGTCCTGCAGCCATTCTTCTTTTTAAAGATAAAACTAAACTACATAAAGAAAATAAATCAAATGCATAATAAACGTCCTGAGCAAAAGTACAAACCAAACACAATCTTTTTTTATTCATTAAACCTTATTTAAATACTACAAACACCGCAGAGAAGAAAGCCTTTACAATGACACTGTGTGGATTACAAAAGCAAAAAAAAAATTTTTTTATCATTCTAAAGAGAAATACATTATTAAATCTGCAGCTGAACATAGTCCGCAAACAGAACAATATTTACTTTTGTTTTAGAAATGTTTGCATGAAGCTACAGTTCCCAGCTGTTTGTGTAAATGGAGTTTATTTTATATAAATGTCCTTTTTTTTTTATCTGTATATTCTGACTAGTTTGTAAGTGAAAAAGTGTCCCCATTAAAGAATATCAGCTTGGTGCTGAGTGATATATTGGAGAGGTATGGTTTCCTGGTGTGAAATATGATAATTCTAGAAGTGTTTCACCTTGGGAAATTTTAATATTTGACCACACCTGCCACCTTAGTGCCCATCAGCCTATTGGTGTTGAAATCTATATACAGTATATGGGTGTGCCCCCCTTCTTGGTTAAAAAATATACACCTGAAGAACATAATTTGGGAAGGATTCAAACTTTTTGTGGTATTTGAGCAAGTGTGCAGACCTATCTCCTTCCACAGTGGAGAGGTACTCCTGGTTTCTGTCTTTTATAATGACATTGTTTGGCAATAAGAATAAATATATGACATATTACCAACCTCATTGACTTCTTCTAACCAGGCCAAAGACCTGCAGCCATTGTGTCTCCCATTGCTGGCACCACCAGGGACGTAGTAGAGACAGCGCTGGACATCGGTGGATTCCCCGTCCTCCTGAGTGACACAGCCGGCCTTAGAGAGAGCCCAGACCTGGTGGAGAGGGAGGGGGGTCCGCAGAGCTCGGGAAAGGTAGTGTGGGGGCTTTTATTTGAATATTTAAAGGTTCTATATGTAACTTTTTACATGTATAAATAATTTTTTATCGCCCATTAATAAGCGAACGTTTAACTAATGTGAAAAAGTAGATGTTCACTGTCTATCTCTGTTGCCTGTAAAAAAAAAAAAAAAAAATCCCTGGGTCGTATTTTCCGCGAAAGCTCCAGGAAGTGACATTTTATGCACGTTCTCAACGTCCTCCTCACTCCGCTCCGCTTACAGAGATCAACAGTACAAACTCATCACACACTCCCGGTCTTCACCTGCACAGCCAGAGGCCGCCTTCCACACACTTCTATCCGCCCTAGGAGCTCTCAAAGGGCGGAAAAAACTCACCACACACTCCCGTTCTCAGCCAGTGCCTGCCGAGACTGTCGTTTGTAGGATGGAGAATGAATCTAATATGGAACAAATAAACGACTGGACTCAAGCACAACACAGACGCCTTCACAGACGTTTGTGTTCGATGAGCACGTATGCCGGGCACGTGAGGGAGAGAACAGGTTACTGGTGCAGTTCGCCTAACAGCCATGCGGTATCGCTTCAAACGCAGTATTTTTGAAAGTTACATATAGCCCCTTTAACAAAATAGAAGTTATTATGCTCTTTTTTTTCTGCTGTAAGAGGCAGACAAAAAATAGAGTAGCAGCAGTGTAAGAGTACATGTAGATTGCTGCTTCAGCATCTGTTGTGTTTAATATAACACAGGACAAATGAGCCTGAGACCGATGTAAGATGTCCTTGAAAACAAAGAAAGGAAGAAATAAGTCATTGCTTTTCCCCTGGCCATGATGCTGAAGTCCTGTAATGTCTGTGCTACATCCAGAGTTTATATTATTGCTGAGACACGGTTATAAATACACGGGACAAACACTCTCAGGAGGTTGCATAATGAAGAGCCTCCTTTCCTCATTTTTACCATTAACACATTCTTCATGTGTGCTGTTGAGAATGGACATATATGGCCATTCACCTGACAGCTGCTTCCACTATTTACACCAGGGAGACATAGGAGTACTTGAAGAGCTCGTCGTCACTGCTCTATCACAAACAAACAGGCAAACAAAGGTTCATCACACGTTATTAAATCATCTGTTTGATCACATGAGTTTGGTGTTTGAGAGGAGGAGCGACGAGGATCAGATTAAGCTAATGAGAAAGAGAAGTCATCAGAAATATTAAATATCAAGGATGAAAACACGTCTAAATAGATCATTTATTGAGATGGAGGTGAAAGTTTGAAGTGTTTGTAAAAAATTGCTTCACTTTATGGAAACTTTTGTTTATTGTTGATCCTTTTATCTGTTAATACTGCAGAGAAAAAGTACAATTTAAATCAATAGTATGTGCTGCCAATACACCTTACTTGACTAGACTTCGTGCAAAAGAACTTAAGGGAATAAAAGTTTACAGTTTGGTGTTTTCTTGCCAGAAAAGACTAATGTTGATTGTTTCCCTGAGTACTTACTGGCAGGGAGAAGAAGAATCTGACAGAAGTCAAGCCATGCAGTTTAAATCACTGCATGTTTATAGGAAATGAAATTTGGTAAGTGGTAGAAGATTTATAGGGACTCACAGACCCTTTTTTTATCAAGAGGAAACAGTTGAACTTGTAATTGATTCAATAAATGTGTAATAACAGCCAAAAGCTTGTTTGGTGACACATTGTGCAGAAAGATTTTGAAAGAAAACATCCGTGGAAATCCAGACAGAGACATGATGTGCAAAATGATGCGATTGCAGTCCAGACGTTCTGCGACTCCTTTACTATTTGTTTGAGTTAGTTGGGCGACCTGGTGGCTCCATAGGAAGGGTGGGCACTTTGTGTTCTTTGGGGGGGGGACTTTCTGTGCAGGGAGCAGGTCAGAGGCTCATGACCTGGGTCACTACAGGAAGGACGTGGTGAGAACAAGCATCCGCTGCTGCTGCTGCCCCCGCCTCACTGAGGGACTGACGCGCTGGAGTCCACAAAGTAATGAAAGTCAAAGCCATGAAAGTCCTTCATTAGAAATATTCCTGCTTTTATAGTGTTTGTTCATATTTATTGAGAAGGACACACAACTGCTTCTGAAATAAAACCACAGGGTGCCAAACCTCCGCTCTGACCCGGAGCTGCTGCAGCCTGTGGATTAAAGATAATTCTGATGACTTGTCGTCTTCATAAGCTTCAAAAAAAAAAATCCCAAAAAGTTATGAAGAAGATTATTATCCCAGTCTGAGAAATACCAGATTCATTTTTAAACAGATGACAATATTCGTATTACTAATGTGGATATAAATGCATTTAAGATCAAAGTAATAATTTATCCTGGACAGTTGAACACATTTCATTATACTGCAAAAAGCGATGACGGCTGTTGAAGTATAATGATTCAAATTTTTAATTTCAGTGCTCTTATCGCTGCAGCAATCTTCTTTCTCAATATTGATGCCATTAGACCTTCAAAGAGAGTATTGACGGCGTTCAGAATGAAAACTTCTCACTGCCATCTCCGCTTAGAGAATTAGGCTTTTCCACTTAAAACGTAGAATTTCACTTAGGCTTTCTTTTTCTTTTTTCTTTCTAGAGTGGAGCATGCAGATCTGACTCTGGTGGTTGTGGACTGCTCTAATCTTCCAGCTGAAACAACACAAGCTGCAGCCTTCCTTCAGGATCACCTCAGGACTCTCCTGCCCACCCAGGAGCAGCCGGGTACCGGTGACATCTCCTCACCTTTCTGTCAGTGATGATTTTTATCTTTAGTGCACTTCAAGCACAATCCTATGCATGAAAGGGTTGCACAATTCAACTACATACCTATAGATGAAGCATTATAATCCAGAGGTCACTGGCTGATAGTTTGCAGCCTTCATAAATTATTAAATTGAAGTCATGTTGCAGGGGAAGTTTGCACTGAGTCACTGATATTGATCACATTTCTCCCTCCCTTGCCATCTTTAGTTTTTCCCACAGACAGGTTTCTCCTGGTGCTGAATAAAACGGACCTGCTGCCTGAGGAGCAGAGGCAGAAGCTGGACAGAGAGCTGAGACGGGTCTCTGGACTGCCTCCTGTTTGTCTGATCTCCTGCCACAGTAATGACGGACTGCAGGACTTCATCACAGCGCTGCACAGCAGGGTCAAAACTCTGTGAGTAGCTGCAGTTCATGACATTTTGTGATTTATTAATTTATCAAAATGATTCAAGTTAAATTACATTTAAATCATCTTTTTAGTTCATTTTTCATGCATAAATGCCAAACATTTTCTGCTAACAGCTTTTTTTAATTTGCTCCATGTCCTTTTCATTTAAGAAAATATGGAAGTGTCTTTGGGTAAATTTATGTAGGTTGAAAAAAATATATATTTCGAGACATGGCTTTGTGCTCTGGGAAATTGTGATGAGCTTTTTTAAGATGATATGGCATTTTGTTGAAGAAAAAGGTAATAGACTCATTGTTAGATGTTTTTGTTATATTAATCAGATTTATGTAAATATTATCTCAGAAAGATGGATTACTGTACATCCAATGAACCTTATTTAAAAGTTTATTATTTACATGGGTCAGCATGTCACTTCAAATGGAAAATCCTACTCATGTGTTCATGTTGCTCTGGTTCATTCTGTTCTCTGACTTCCTCTGTAGGTGTGGCGATCCTCTGTCTGGTGCCCCTACCCTGACCCAGGCCCGTCACAGGGCCCACCTGCAGCAGTGTTATGCAGCGCTGGCCCAGTACCAGCAACATCGCAACAACGACCTCGCTCTCGCAGCCGAGGGGGTCCGGTTGGCTCTCACCAGCCTGGGCCGGATCACTGGACGGGTCTGGGTGGAGGAGATCCTGGATATCATCTTCAAAGACTTCTGCATTGGGAAATAGTCAGTGTGTTGTCCAGTCCTCAGACAGCAGGAGCAAGAGTTCATGTTCTTGGCTGCTGGTTCAGTCTGCTCCCGAGACACAAAAATGTTTGTTTTCTGGTGATGTTGTTTAACGGACTGGAATAGTTTCAGGGTGATGACAGGTGTCTCTGAGGCCTTGTGTGCTGGACATTTAATTTAAAAATATTTTTTAAAGCCTTTGATAGGTGAAGATTGAGCTCTTGGGATGTAACATATGAGGCCAAGATCATTTAAAAGTAAGCCAGCCAAAGGCATCTGCAAGGCCATGGACTCAGTGTTTGGCTGTTTAATTGTAATGCAGACAATGAAGGAGAATCTTTTAGGGCGGGGGCTCCGTTTCAGCTGCACTGTGTGTTTGCACCATGCACATGTTGTAGATTTATCTCAGATCGTTGCATATTTTTAATACTTTGATTGTATATGTTGTATTATGTTTTCAGTTGGTCTAAATGTTAACATTTGATCATGTTTAAGTCGCCATAAGGAGTACTTAACTGTTATTAATTCAAAAATGTCCAAAAGGATATTCGATGCAAAGGAAATGGTATTACTATGGAGTCATGTTTGTAAGGCTTTAAAACAGGCACCTCAAGCTCTTTAGTAGATTCATTTTCAGTGTCACATACCACAATATGCACTTCACTTTTTTTTGAATCCTCATCACCAAAAAAAAAAAGTTTTACCGTGCAATGATTTTTTACCTGTTCTAACAAAGATTAAGAAGAGGCCATTTCTAACTGCACAGTAGCTGCTCTCACATTGAGTACAAGTACATCTGTGTAGTCTGTGTTTAAGGCCTCTGTTAATAAGATTTGCGGTCGACCGTTAAGAAAATGATGTACATGTATGATGTAAAGAAGCTCAGAGTGACCCAGCTCTCCTCTCTGCTCTGTGGGAAAGGAACATTTTTGGAGGTAAAGCTCTCTGTGCCCTTTGTTCCCCTGTCAATCTGGCCTTGATCAAATATTTATGTTTCCTCGCTGAACTCCTCAACCTTCTCCCCTGCTTGGCTATGTCTCCTTCAGTCTCTGACGACAGTTACCCTGCTGTCCACCAGCTTAAACTGTTTGTCTGCCTTTTTTTTGTCTCCCTCCGCTCCCTCTCTGCTACCTGACCTTTCCTTTTTCCGCACCGCTCTGTCAGCCTTTTTGTCCTCTTTCATGTTTGCTCTGATTAATTACAACTGAGGGGGAGTTTAGGCTAAAAACTGGTCCAGCTATAATTTAGAAGCAGTACATTTTAGGGACTGCTTTGTCTTTGAAGTTGTGCCAGTGTGTTGTCTTCTTATTTGTGAAAAACTACTGTGAAAATGAATTGGATACTAACGGCAAATACTTCTGAAGAAACTCACACGATACTTTTTTCTCACCTAAAAGACAATAAATGTTTTTTTTATGATTCATACACCGCTTTAGTCCAGGCTGAAATGGATTCACATTTTTCATCTTCTACAGACAGTTATTGTCATCAGAGGGGGTATCCTAGAAAGTTTCTAGTATCTTCATTCATTTTCTGTTTCTGTAGCAGTTCAATCTTTACAATGAAATGATAAATGAAACAGGTAAATCACACGACATGCAGAGTGTGAGTTACCTTCGTGTAGATGGATTACTGCCGGATTTTATACTGTTACCAAATGATCATCTTTAATTAAGCTCTATAAATATTGGATGTTTTGCCATGATATTTAACGACAGATATTAATGCATTGGATAGGGTTACATCAAATAAAATATATTATACAGTACATAAAAAAGTAATTGGGATTCTTCCCCTAGGCACCAATAATATTTGTACTAGATCTTTTTTGTCAATCAAGGTAATAGCTGTTGAAAATGTTATGCTTGAACAAGCATATATACTGTATGTAGTCTCGCTGTGCTGGAGAAAAAGCCACAAAAAAATCAGAAAATTAGAAAAATGTGCTAAAATAGACTTATAATAGAGAGTGAATATGAATAAATAAAAATGAAAGCAAGGCCAAACAGGACCGTTTTAAGATTGAAACAAAGTTTGATCTGAATAAAATATAAACTGTGAATGAAATGGAAAGAAGACTTTAAAGCTATGAGGCACAGATGAATGTTTATCACTTGTCTCACCCTTCTCTTAATTTCACAACATGACTTGTCGTATTTAATTCACTGCTGACTAATCAGCGGCTCTTTTAGCTCTCTGTCCGTCAGTTTCCTGTGCTTTTGATAAATGAGATGCACAGTGGACTTCATCAGCTCCACCCCTGAACCCATTAAACCTAAAGTGAGGATGTATGTGTTAATTTATGTGTGACTTTTCTCGGGTCCATTTTTGGGATCCAAAACACTTTAGACAAAGGATTTCCTGCAGACAGGAGGTAGACTCCGTCACCTGTAACACTCCATCACTACAGTGAGACCGGGAGTTAGTCATCATGTTTTCTTTTTATGTACCATGGAAAGAGTCTCAAATATTGGTAACGCCTAAATCAGTGAGTGATTTATCCACATTTGATTCAGCTTCTCTAGAAGTTAGAAAATAAATCTTTATTCTGATCTACCCAAGTTATGAATTTTAATTTACTGCTGTCTGAATGAAAACTTGAAGAACAGCAAATGTACGAGCTTTTATTGTTTGTTTCTGTAATGATTCACTAAGGCCAAACATGTTTAAAATAATCCAAAGTTGTCAAATTGACATCACAGTTAAAGAAACAAAACATTAAAGTGGCAGTTTTGGACTCCATACATATGTCGGATGAATCAAAGACACTATATCTGAATATTAAAGAAAGTGAGAGAGAAGTTAATTCTAGAAGAGTTATATAAATTAACAATGTTAAAACAGAAAACTGAACGTGTACAATACACTTTGAAAGATCCTTTTCTTTTCTCAGGTAGAGCTTAAATGGACGGATTTATCGACAGAAGCTGGCTCTGCCTCTGTGGAAAGTAGACTGAGTGGACGAAAGCACAATTTGAAGATGTTAACTTTGACTCTGAAAACTGTGAAGAGCTTTTATATTTAATCGACTAAATTGAACATTTAATGGTGAAAGAACTTCAGATTTATTAATAATGCAAATAAACATTTCTAGTAATAAACTACAAATATATTTATGACATATAGAAAATGGCATTAAACACTCTTAGGTGTGTTTTAGTACTTCAGTGTATCTGCATCCATAATAACCATAAAAAAGACCGTCTGCTTCCAGTGCCAGAACTGTATGTGCTCATGAAAGGAAGGGGAAGTAGTAAAGCTTGAGAATAGTTCATATAACAGCTACTGTTCAGATCTCATAAAAAAGAGAGCATAAAAACAACAGTCACTTGATGTACATTAAGATTTTAACTAGTTACTAGTCTAATCCATGCCAAATGTATTTATTTCTTTTATTTGTTTGCATGAGGTCATATGGAGTGTGAATGAGTGCGGATGTGATGATGTGTTTTTGTCTTGGTTGTATGTATTGACATCCTGGCTGCAGGAGAAATTCAAAGGTGTGAATCGCGAGGAAACATAAAAGGAGCTATTTTAGATCATTCTGTTTATAGCTGCCAAGTGAGCAGCTGCTGCACACAGTCCGTCTGATTGTTAATTATGTTTCTAATACTCAAGAGACAAAATAGACCAAGGACAAAACAGGAGTAAGTCTGTCTTCAGTTTACTGTATTTTTATTTCTTCAAGATAAACATAGAACTAATAATAGAACAGTGACACACAATAGCAAATATTTACACCAGTGTCGTCGTTTTTATACATTTACCTGGGGAGATACAAAGTTTTTCACAGTAAAACCAAACCAAAAGAAATCATGCACAAACAACGGTAGGTAAGACATTACTATCAGGGTATTTACAGGGCGTGTGTGTGGTGTTTTAGGAATATGTACATGTAATGTCCTTTGTTCTTTAAATGGTGATCACTGTGGCCTCCAGTGTTTCTTGCTGATGCTGCATTTCATCTCACCTGGAACACAAAACATGAACAATTACGGTTAAAAATTTATGATGGCAATAAAAGGGACCATTTCAAAATGTAAATAACAATACAGATTTCAGATTTATTTTGGGAATAAAAGGTGATGAGAAACAAGCAGAAACATAAAAATACAAGGTGCACACATTTTGTAAGCCAACAGTTTTGTTAGCGTGTGTTAGTCTGATGTCGGTCTGTCAGTTGAACTCAAGTTTATGTCTTAACTATCAACACAAACACTCATTAGTCCTCAGAGGATAAATCCTACCAGTTCTGGTGATCCCCTGACAATCCTGTAGTGGTTATAGTAATGTTATATTTACCGTTGGGGTTTTGCTGATGCTGGGCGCTCCAATTAAGGGCCACTTCTGTGCGCCCTGCTGTGGGGCCACCAGAAGGCCGGCAGGTTTAGGAGCAAAAGGCTGGAAAACAGATTTGATTATTTAGTATTATTTATGAAATGAAACATAGGTCCTTTTTTTTTCTAAATGTATTTTTCTGACATTCTTCTGCACTAGTAACAATGAGGTTATTTGAGATTTTGTTTTTATTGCTTTTTGTGAACTTGAGACCCTTAGAGAAGGGTTTTCCTTTGTTATCTCTCCTGCCCATCCTTCCTGCTGCCTTCAGATTCCTCATTTCTACTGAGTCCAAACGCACCAGCTTAACGCTACACTGCTGTCAATGTAGTAAATCTTATGTAAAAGCTCTAAGGTGAATCGTACTTAAAGTGAGACAAAAACACTCTTTAGAGATTAGTCCTGAAGGTTAAACAAGGAATTTTTCATTTTAAATCCCCTGACTTTTTTGCAAAACTTTCTATTGTATCTTCATATGTTTGTTCAGCGCAAAAAAGTTAGACTTGTGTGTTTATTTTACCTTAAAGTTGGACTGAGCGTTTTGGGGCGTTCGCCTTAGGGTTTGAAGCTCTCTCTCTCTGAGGGCCAGAGCGTCTTCCACCAGCTTCTTCTGTTCTCTCAGCTGGTTCTGATCCACCAGTAACCTCTCCACCTGATCCACACGAGCATTTGTTAATCTTAGCAAAAGGTTCCCTTTACAAACTCATCACTAGTATCCTAAAGTTTGTTTAGGATCCTGTTTAAAAAGATAAAACTGAACACACACGTCTGTGCACAGTTAATATCTACCTGGTTATCGTGCATCTGTTGCTTTTTGGACTTGTCTGCCTCCATCTCTTCGCAATTTTGTTCACACTTCTTCAAGTCAGAGCTCAAATGTGAGTTTTGCACCTCCAGACGACTAGACAGGGCCTGGATCTCTGACACCTGGGAGAAGAAAAATCATTATTTTAATACATGAGATACACGTGCCATGTTTTTTTATTTTATTTTTTTAAGTTTAAATGGAATATGTTATTTTCCAGACAAACTGCAGCAGAGTGTGGGAGAGTCAGTCAGAGGTACTGGGTCGCTGTGGTACATGAACATGTCACGTTTCCAGATGGCGTCTTTACATAATCACACTTGTCTTTGTTTACCATGCGTCTATTTCTGTCCATCAATGCGAGTGTTTGTTAATGTACATTTTCCTCAACATCACAATGGAGAATGAGCTGTGCAGCCGTCCTGGGAATTTAATGTATACTGTCCCAGAGGGAAATGACTCCATAGTTTAATGTTGCTTTAAATCAGCCGTGACCGGGCTGGACTCTAATGCTGCTTGATTACGTTTTAAAAATGGAGCAGGTCATCAATTTGACTGTGCAGTTTGAAGACTCATTAAGAAAACTGCCTGACTCTTTTCCTCTAGGAAGCCACTAATATGGGAGATAAAGAAAGTTTAATTAAAAGGCTCACACAGACAATGTAGAGACAAGTTCCAAACTTACTGTTAATATTCAGACTTATTGGACACTATCAACAATTCAAAGTAATTTACAGAATCCATCATCTTTTTTATATTTAACTTACTTCTTATGATATCTATTTCTAGAGGAGTTTCTCATGTTTTTCTGAACCCACTTACAAACATGAGAGGGGCACAAAGTCTGAATCTACACAAAACTGAACAATGGAGCTGCAATGTACGGCCAATTCAACACATATCACTGAAGCCATTTGGAGAGAATGAGTGAACATTCTCAACTGGTTGTTGGCTCTGTCAGTGTAAAGGTTTGCTGTTTTTGTCTGTTTTGTATATTTACAGTCTGAATATCTTTTCAACTGTCACACAGAGACTTTTAAAGTGGACAGCACACACTTTTTTTTTATAAAGATTTATTTTTAGGCTTTTTGTGCCTTTAATGGAGAGATAGGGCAGTGGATAGGGATCAGGGAGGGAGAGTGGGGAATGACATGCAAGAAGCCACAGGTGGGATGTGAACCCGGGCCGCAGTATTTTGTCAAGTTTTAGTGTGTTTGTATAAAAGTTAGTTTAAGGACAGGGACTGTAAAAAAGCTTTGGCTAAGAATGCTGCTCTATGTAGCTTTAGTCCATGTTTTATACTTATCAGAATAAAGGAAAAAAACAGATCAAGAAAGTGACAAAAAAGGGGAGGGGGAGATAAAGGTTTTATTTTTTGTGGGGGAAGTTGTACTTGGATTTGTGCCAGCATAAAAACAACTGATAAAAATGATGAGAAAGAATAGGAAATGATATAAAGCAAAATATACTTTTTGACCCTCAGTGAGTGTGCTGTCCAGATGAAATATCGAGAAGTGAAAAAAAAGATGTGCGGATGTGTTTTTGTTGTTCTGCACAGTGCTGCTGTGTCAGCAGAACCTCACGCCTCACCGTGCTTTGACCCTAAGGTCATCCTAAAGGGTCACCTGTCTCTTGAGCTCCATTTATCACGCATGATTCAGCGGTTAGACTTCCTCCCTCCAGAAATTGGTTCCCTATTCAATTTGTGCTTTGGGATCTTTCATCCGCTTTGAGGAGACTTTTTGAAAAGAGTTTAAAAGAAAAGAGTACAAATACTGAAAACTAAAAAACATGAAAAATGAAAAATGCTGGAAAGCACAACGACAACATGTGTATATGTTCACATGAGCTACTTTGAGGTTCATTCATTGAAATAATTCAATCCTATCCACATTTTACAATTGCTTTAATTTTTTAACAGTATCATGTTTTGGCCTTTTTCAATGTCTTTAAAGTTAAATCATGGTGTCCAAACTTCTCTAATAAAAAAAAAAGTATCTCTAGTATTGTCCCTTTGTCACATTTCAGATGTGTATAAGCTAGGAGGAGAGATGTTCCCTCTTAACTGCTACAGTTTTATTTAAATAACTTTATGAAGCCTTCACTGAAAAAAATATGTCTTTTTGTTCAGACTAAAGAGCAAGCATTAGGAAAAAGTTTGAAATTGGATGCAAAATGATGTGGCTAAATATTTTTTCTTTAACATTTATGAGAGATGGCAAGACATAATTCTTTTGGGGGGAAACCAGTGATCTGACTTTGATGCTTTAAGCTCATTTTATTGATAGCAGAAGATCTTTCACCTGAGAAGGATTTGAACATTTATAATTATGACTTCCATCACTCTGAATTAAAGTCTCAATAGTATTAGTATTTCACTGCCTTATCCCTCAGGTTTGTCTGTACTAGTGAAGCCCTGCAGAAAATTCATGAATGTCATTTAAAGAAATAAAATCCAATCAAAGAATTATAAAATATTTTGCACACACCTTGTTTCCCACTTTGTCTAAGTATAGCTGGAACTTGTTCTCCACGTCTCTGGACAGGTTGGTGCAGCTGCTCCTGATCTTCTCCATCTGCTCCCGTTGGCTGTCACAGGTCAGGTGAAAGGTGAGCTGGTGAGGAAACAGGGTAGTGATCCTGTTCAGGAAATCCCGGGTCACCGATTGGATCCCGTCCAAAGAATGAGCAAAGTCCTCTTTGCACTTCCTGGTTAAAACACAAAAGAAAACTTTAATCTTTTTTTCATCTTAATGTGTTCAGCATCACTCACGGAGCCCACAGAGGATCAGACAGGTGACCTGGTGTAGGTGGTGAGTTGCTCCTTCAGCATGTTGTTCTCCCTGCGCAGGATGATGGCGTCCTGGTGGTGTGTGTCTCGCTCTCTCTGGGCTTTGTCTCTCTCCAGACTCAGGTACTGAACAGTCTGAGTGAAGTTTGTCTCGATGAGAGTAATCATGGCTTTCTGCTGCGCGTTGAGGCTCTGCAGAGTCTTCACCTCACCTGCAGGGGAAACAACAGTGAGATTTACATCCACCTTCTTAGTGGTCATTTATTTTGTGATACAATGTTCTGACTGACAAAGTGAAACCTGTTTATATGCAGAAAATAAATCAGTGTTGTTTATAGATCAGAGGATAACTTTTTGGTTGCCTTGTTGCTCAGTGATGTTAAGAGAAATGACGTTATGATCAAACGTTTTTTACACTTTCTACAAAGTCATCAAGCTCACTGTTCAAATATCAATTTGTCATCAATAAAGTCTCTTAAACTAGCAAATAAAGCATGAATTAAATACTAGCATTAGATTTTATTTACACCCTGGAACCAGAAAGAAGTTGTTACTACGTTTTTTTTCAATAAATTTACTGATAATTTATAAAGCACCTTAAGCCATGACGTACAACTTATGGGCCCTAAATAAAGAAAGCTTTATAATGAAGAGGGGCTTTCATTCTCATTTGTTTAACTGTCTCTAAAACAACTAACTTGTCTTGTTTTATTTTAATCACATCTTTGCCTTACACATACAATCTTCATTACCAGGGGAACATTTTTTTTATATTCATGGAATATTTACTAAGACAGTAATAATTACCCATGTTTAAATAATATCCAAACACTTTAGGCGTACATACCGCTGGTGGTGACCACGACAGGGGGCACGATGGGAGGGGTCGGACGATATGACATCATTTTTAATGTCGTTGAACTAATTTTCTCACAGCTTGCCTGAAAATGAAAAAAAAAAAAAAAGAGTTTATTTCACAGGCTGATTCAAGATTTGGAGGTTCTGGTTTATTACTGAAGTAACCAGAAGTGTTGTAATGCAACATTAACTCAATTACTCCGCTACTCCAGAGTACAACAGTACAAAATATGAGGTTTTTCTTTACTTGAGTGTTGTATGCTGATTTACACAACATGACATTTTACTCTTCTTCATGTACAAACAGCTGTTTACTTAACAAATAAAGATTTGATGTAGAAAATGTAACAAGCAAATGTGACACTCTAGTGAAGTAAAAAATATTTCACACAAATAGTTGAAAGGATTAGTTAGAATATCATCAGTTAGCTGTGTAACACATTTCAGGGGAAAGGGGGAAAAAAAGGAAAAGAAATCATGAAAAAATGAAATCAATCAGATTGAGCCTCGTATAAAACAGTCATAAATATCTCCTCTTTAAAGAAACTCAATGAGACTTTAAAGTGGGAGTAATGATAATGACTTATTACAGTATAACAGAGAGAAAGGCCATTATCTGTTATTATGTACTTTTAATACATACAAACACTTTAGTACCATTTGAATGAAAGAGTGTGACTTGATGTTTGAGTGATTTTATTCTAGTAGAGGACCTGAATACTTCCTCTAACTCTGATAACCGATAGGAAAACTAGAACAATGTAAAGGAAACAATCATCATAAAATAATCATGTACATTGTTAGAAAAAAAGAAAAAGATTTGATGTATTTTTCAAAGCAGATCCACTCAACAAAGACCGCTCCTCAGCACTTGTTTTAAAATGTACTCACTATTTTTTCTCTGAGTGCGATTTGTGTTTTGTTGGCCTCGGTTTTCAGCTTGGCCAGCTCTGCCTCCAGAGCAGCCTTCTCTGCCGTGCGAGCTCCAAGCTGAGCACCCAGCTCGCTTTCTCCTTCCTCAGCTGGATGTTGTTTTCACTCAGCCTGTTGAAGTTCAGCTCCATCTCCTTCAAAGTTAAGACACCACTCAGACTCACTGTCACTGCGATTTACACCTCAGAACATTTGGACTTCATGCTTGTAAATAAATCAGTAATAATGCTATTTCAAGAAAGAAACCTTTGTGTTGAAACATAGCCTGCAGATAATGATTCATGATGTCCTTTTTAAAAAAAACCTAATTAAGGCTCATGAATTGCAACTATTTCTAACTAAAGTAACATTAAACCAGATATATTTCTATTGAATGTTCATTCAATTTGTACTAAAATAACAATTCAAATGTCAGTATTTTGATATTTGAAGAACTTCTGAATTGAATAAAATAAACTGAAGTATATCAATTTGGAATAACTGACTGACCTTGACTCTCTTCTCCTCTGCAGTCTTCTCCGGCTGTCCATAGATGAGGAAGAGCACCAGGCTGACGATGATGAGGGACTGTATGAGGGAGGAGAAGAAGAAGATGATCCTCATGTAGTAGCCGCAGCTCTTCCCTTTGGGCTTGTGAAGCGGCTCCCTCGCCTCCAGGCCGAACTTGGCCCGCGAGTAGCTGGAGCTGTACATGGCTGTTGGGGGTGAAATGGTGACGGCTGGTTTTGGCACGATCTAAGCAGGAATTATAGTCAGTTAAAATCCACAAGGTTTCCCCCAGCTTCTGTCCTGACCTCTTCGTTCTCAGTGGATCAGGTGCTGACGCGTCAGGGTGAACACAGTCACAGATGAGTAATGGAGGAAAAAGCAGCAGTGAGATGTTTATTTCACACACTGACAGGCAGAAATGGCATGTATAGATGGATGTAAACAATGACCTCTAGGTGTGCAGATGGGCCATGTTTATAAATGCTCTTGGAGGCACACTTCCACTCCATCCTGGCCCTGCCCTCACCTCCCCCTCCCTCCCTCCCTCCCTCTCCTCCCCTCCTCTCCCTCTCCTCCCTCTTTGACCTCTGTCACAGTCTGAGCCTCCAGCTTCACCAAATCATCAGGAATTTTCCTAATGCTTAGGAAAAATTTCAGGAAGATTACAGTCAATTTAAAGATCCCCCTCAAGTCTTGTTTTTTTTGGGAAAACCTCTGGTTGGCTTAATAATTCAATTTGGTGGCTGCTCCACAATAAGAGTATGTTCATCTATTTCTTTAAACTTTTTCCTTATCCCTCTTTTAAACATCTAGACAATTTGATCCGCTCAATCGTATGTTTGTCAAAGCTTTGATTTATAGACAAATGATGTCTCCTATAGTTCACAGACTAGTAATCTCAGTATATAATCCCTACATGGAGGTGGATTTTACACAAGTACTAATATGACTCTTCTTCGTTAACTTATCAATACAATGGTTATCTGAAAAATGTATCAATTTTACCATCCTCCAAATACTCTAGCTGCAGTCTTTCCTTTCAGTTCAGGCTGATCTCATTCAGCGTTCAGTAAAGGGACTGCGTAACGGTGCCTTTTACAGATATCTGCCCCAGACTCCCTTTCCGGTTTATCTAGTCAGGCTGTTTGGAATATAAACCCTTTTTAAAAATAAGACCACCTCCCAGTCTTATTTTTCGTACCTTATTTTCTGAAATCTTATCCTCTTAAACTTATATATATATATATATATACATGTATTTTTTTTATTAGGTGACTTTTTCTGTCATGTGTTGCTGCCTGGTAAGAAACTGTTTTAACAGAGATTTTTAACCTCAATAGGGATTGTACCTGGTAAAGGAAATTTCTAAATAAAATATTCTATTTAATTTATATCAACAGCCATGAAGTTATTGAAGTCAAATTTACAGCATTGTCTTCTGAAGAGTTTAGGAGAATAAAGCAGAGCTTGTACTCAGTTGTTTTCCATAACTGTCAGTATGTGATGGGGGGGGAAATCAAATATAGCTTCTACAGATTGTATTCCCCCGGCAATGGATGAACAATGTAAACCATTTGAGGAGTTACTGCAGAAAACACCAAACAAAAACCAGAAAAAATTCAATCATATCCTGTTCCAAGCAGGCACGGAAAGGAGTCATGGCAGTGGAGGAGTGAAAGAATGAAAACAATAGGGAGCTGTCATTCTTCAGGGGTGAGGAATAACAAATTCCCCTGCAGTACAGGCACACTGGACCCCCCCAAACACACAAACACACACACACACACACAAACCACTCCTTGTGCGATCTGTGGTGATGACGTGTCTTCAGGGGGAAGTGTGCAAAAGGGGAAAGGTCCTCTGAGCCCAGGGTTTTCCTGCCCCCCCATTGTCTCCCTGACAACCTGTCCTCACAGGAAAAAAAAAAATTTATGACGGCATGTTGGAGTGACAGAAAGTGAGCGACTATCAAGAGTCAGGACTGACATCGGCTCAACCTCAGAGCAAAAACAGGAAACCAAACGCTTGAAGATGGAGATAAAATCACCTCTTAAGATAACTGAGCAGACACCTTTAAGGTGAAAGGGAAACATATCTTTAGACTGAAGTAATAAAGAAGGACAACAGATAAACTTTTCACCAGTATCTGTGATAAGAGCTTAGTGATGCTTTCATTTAGGCCTGTAGATTCACAAATAAGAGTTACAGTGAATAAGAAGCAACACAGTGAAAATGTGCAAAACACTAATAGAGGGAGTAAATGTAAGGATTTTCTCACATAGGAGTGAGTTCAACTAAAGAAAACTAAGATCACCTTACCCTCCATGCCGTTGTCTTCAGTCATCTTAAGAGGTCATTTGCTGCCATCTCCTGACATGAAGCGGTTGTGTACTCTGCCTTGCTTTGAGTGATGAACCAGACAGAAGCAGCATTCACCTCTGGCCCCAACACATTTATTCATGTGGGCAGGATGCAGCACACGGTAATGACAGAAGCATATCAGGTCTCCTCACAGCCACTCTTGTTGTAATAAGCTCCAAAAAATATCTAAAAAAAACTTTTACCTAACTGCTGGTTAGCAAGCTACACCCCTGAGATCTATGGTTAGGACAGCTTCAGCTAGCAGAGCCTAACAATGTAGTCATCATAAATTACTCAATGACAATCCAATATAATCTTATGTTTGGTTTCTCTTAAACATACCGCAGGAATAAATAGCACTTTGTTTTAAGGTTTTTTTTTTTAGCAGAGCTTATTACAGGATAGTGTAGACACACAGGGTGCACTGGTCAAGTCTGCAGGGGCGCCATACGAGGGCACAAAATAAATACCAGCCGCTAAAAGAAAAATTACATACTAAATAATATTTAAATAAGTAAAGTAGTAAAATAAGGGCAATTAAGCGTAGGGGTGTTTTATATCCAGAAACACATTCAAAAAGTTCATCTGTACAATATCTTTAATGTGCAGCAAGACAGGCAGTCTGAAGAGCCTTCGTCACAATCAGCCCATCAGTGCCAAAAATTGTCAAAAAGAAAAGAAAAGCCCCTTCTACATGACTATTCATTCTTCAATTGCCAGTCTAATATGCAAGAACAAATGACTGAAAACATATAAAATCAAAGTCACAATAAAAAAGGCAGCCAAAGGAGGAAATTACCTACTTAAGAAAAAGCAGTGATACAGAAGAAGTGACCTCTGCGATAAAGTAAATCAAAATACAGTTTCTCAAAGTCTCAGAAGGCCAGCTATGGGAGACTGTCACATGTTCATACTGACCCTTGATAAGTGACTTAAAGCCAGATCAGTGAGGTCTAAGATTAGCAAGAAGAAAACAACGATTAGGGGTGTAAGTTTAACAAAGCAAGAGGCTTTCACCAGTTTTTGTTTTTTTTACCTTCACCTCGTAATTGTGCCCTGCTCTTCAACTCTGACTTCCACTTCATCGCCTCATCTCCAGGAAACTTCCAGCAGTTATGTATACATTTCACAATCAGATTATTTTATTAATCCCCAGTTAAGAACCATGACTCATCCATTTCTCTTCATGAAAAACAATGGTTGTGTAAATAGTAACATGTTGTTTCTTTTCATTGTTCTGCAGAATATAATGGTAAAAGCCTTCAGTAATATGGTGTAGTTGTAAAATCCTGACATTTTTGATGAACTACAGTGTCCGAGCTTTCAGTGAAACAGGGCCCTTGGAGCGTTTGCAGCTTTAGACGGTTGCCTCAATGTCCTGGGGGTCGTCCCCCTCCAGCAGGCTATAAGACGCATGGCTCTGAAAAGGTCTCTGCAAAGGGTGAGCCAGAAGTTTGGCCATGCAGTTGTGCAGCTCGATGGCCGGTCCACTGAGGGAAACCTCAAAGCGATAGCACATGCCCTTTGAGTCCAGGTTGCAGAAAGAAGTGTAGTTGTCCTGGAGATAAAAAAAAACAACACATTTGTGATATTCAACATGAACAGTTTGGAAATCGACCGCAAATAATAAAAAAAACCATCAAAACAGCCTCCCATATGACCTCTAAGGAGCCCCAGAGGAAAGTCTATTAAAGAGGTAAGAAATGACTTTGTGTTGATACAACACGTAGCACTGAACATTTTCATAAATACAATAATAATACACAACAGCAAAAGAACTCCAGCCAAACAATACAATCTGGTAACAATAAAATGACTGATTATTTGCTGTGTTTAAGTTTATTCACTCACCCTCCAGCTGGTCTCATCCCCCTGCTCCTCCGCCCCGTTATGTAGGTAAACCACATCAAAGAAAAAATATGGAGACTGCAGCATTTTCTGTGGAAGGACACAAACATGACAGTGACTACATCATCAAGTAATAAACATAGAGTCACTTTAAGAGTCTGAAACAGTGATATCCCTACAGTAAGTTGTTCTCACTCTTACACTAAAAGCCTCTGAAGGGTTGAACTGGAGCTGTCCTGCATGTCGGCTGTAGATGAGCACCGTCCGCACCACATACGGAGGAGGGATGGTCTGAACATTCTCCATCGACGGGAGCTCAATCTTCGAACGTCTACAAAGAAAAAGAAGACGAAATGACTTTCAATAAACACATCCACGTCGCATTATATTTATTCTGAGAGAAATCAGAGAGTACTTACATTACATTAAGAAGATCTTCCAAATCTAGAGGCAACAGTTAGGGCTCAAACGTGACATCTGAACTTTACTGAAGATCCTACACATCGCATAAAGTAGGGAATTTAGTGATTGTTTTAGAGGAAGTTTTGGATGAAAGGATACTGAAGGACTCGCACACATTGGTCTCCAGGTCATACAGACAGCTGCACAGCTCCCTGGGGTCAGACGTGAAGCCAGACAGCTGAGACACAAACACATCAGAAGAGAAAAACATGTTACATTGATACTTTGCATGAGCATAGTCCTGGGCGATATAGTCTAAAATTAGAAACCCTGAATTTTTAAAAACCAAACTCAACTTGTGATTTTAATCGATTTTTGACTTAAACAAGTTTTGCTTTTATTTGATCAATAAACTTTAACAAAAGCAAACTTAATTTCCTTTCAAGGATTTATAACGTAAACTAAAATTCGCTTCTGGGGTTAAAGTGCAAGCTGTAAACTCGTCTTTAAAAGTGAACTTTTTCATTTCAGACTACAGCAAAAGTACCGATGAGGAAGAGCAACTTCAGCAAAATACATGCAGCTGGTTCCACAGGTAAGGAAGTGAACGAGTGGGAGGATGTGAACTACAGGAGCCAAAGGGGAGCAGCGGATTAAGTTGAAGAGAAAATCTTGATTTTCCACAAACCCGATTTATTGATTCACAGCCTGTACATGACACGTAGAGCAGATGTACTCACTGTACTCACCCATAGAGCGTCATCGTTGACCACTACGAGGGCAAACTCGTGTCTTTTGTCAATCTTGTGTTTAGTTCTGACAAACATCTCAATCATCTTCTGGCAAATGTTCAAGGCATTTGTTTTAGATCTAAATGGACAGAAATGATATTAGATAGTGATGAAAAATGAGATATTTGCATTTAGGAGACAGGATTTACTTTACTGTAGCTTACCCATTAAAAGACTCCAACTTTGGCAAAGACATCTCTTCAGAAAGGTCGAGGCAGATTATCTGACATTAGGAAGAGAACATTAGATAGTAAACGCCTTGAGGGGATTCTAAATGTTCATACAAAAGCTAAACCAGTACTGTAGAGTAAGCCTACCACTTTCTCTGGACAGTTGACTCGGGGAACTCTGAGCTGGTACTCTGCTGGTGGAGGGACTGCTGTGGTCAGTGGCGGCTGCTGCTGCTGTGCGGGCTTCGGCCTCTCTTTGGCAACAGCAGTGGAGGACAGAGGCACTGTGGAGCAGGCTGCAGCTGCTGCTGTTACCGCTGCAGTGGGGGCCACAGTCTGAGCTGCAGCCGCCGACACAGTCGTGGTGGTGGAACTGGGAGGGCTGTCACTGGTTGAAGCCTCGCCTTCCCCTTCAACACGACTCCCCACGGCGGGCTGAGAGATGCTGGGGTTACTGTTTCCGCCGAGGCTGCCTGTGCTGCTGCGGCGATCCTCTGCACCTTCAGGGTTCGAGCGTGTCCGAGGTCGCAGCTCCACCAGACGCTCCTCTCCATCTGCCGGGCCTGGCTCTGACGTCTCCATCACGACAAGGGTTGCTGTTGAGGGTTGAGTTAGCCATAAAGTGTAACTATTAACATAAAATAAAGAAAGCACAAGTCTGTCTATCAACCTATCAATCTAAAAATCTAAATATGTTTTTACCACAGGTGCTGTTTACTGCTTTTTTCCCTTCCCTTTATCACTCAGTCAACCTCTCTGCCTAACCCTCTCCAATCACTGTCTGCCTCTCATCTGTCACCTGAGAAGCTGCTGTTTAGAAATGGAACTAAGACAGGAAGAGAAAGAGATAAATACAACCACTTGGGTTTTTCAAGACTAAGTGAGAATCGTACAAACTGAAAGTGCAGGTCTTTATGGACATGTAACAATAACAACAACAATAATAAGAAAACCCCACATGTGTAGTATAACAGGATGAATAGTTAAGTAAGAAATGCATAAATCAATCACAGTGAGTTCATACGTACAACAATAAAGAGGTGGCAGAGAAAAGTGACGTTTGATGACAGTGAAGTAGTCTTAGCTGTTAGCATTAGCTTCAATAAAAATAACATCAGGACAGACGACTCTAGAAATACTTAACCTATAGTTGTAAAATCATACTTACGTGAAACCTTTTTTTCCAAAACGTCTAGAAAAAAAATTAAGTAAACCTCATTGGAGAGTTGCAAAAATTATTTCACAACAAGCCAACATTCATTTAGATGGGACAACTTCCTCACCGGACATGACCTAAATCCGGAAAATCCAAAGCATTGTGGGTAATGAAGTTGAATGGAGCGGTTTCATTTTTCTAGTCGTTCATATTTACAGTGTAATGGGCATTAGTACGGTGGCTGGGAAGTGCAAAGCAAAATAACAAATGTGAGACAAATTTACATTTTGAAAAACCTTTTTGTTACATTTTTTAGAAAAGAAAAATTACAAAAACAAAACACTTATACCAATAAAAAAACAAACACATTTACATCTTATAAAACAAATTTACAAACGACAGAATCTTGACAAAATGGGAAGGTACCAAATGTCAGAAGTGACCCGGAGTGAGGGGGTCATTTTGTTTGTTTTGTTTTGTCACAGCAAATTCCCTTTCCGTCAAGATTCTGTCGTTTGTAAATTTGTTTGGGGGACTGGTAAAAGTGTTCTGCCTCTTGTAAATTTGTTTTGTCCTTGGTAAGTGTTTTTTATTTTTTTATTTTGTTTCATAAAATGTAAAACTGTTTTTCAAAATGTAAATTTGTCTGTCATTTTGTAAAAGTGTTTAACACTTTGTCATTTTGCTTTGCACTTCCCAGCCACCGTACATTAGCCTTATGTTGCTGGAAAACTATGAGACCAAACCGGGGACAAAACGGAGAATCTATCATAAAATATAGATTGATATAGTAATATTATGTTGGAAAATTAATGTACTTGACTCTGAACAGAAAATATCCAGTAGATCACTGCATTTAAGAAGACAACCCTTACAGTGCCTTTATCGTGTCAGAGGGGCATCCTAAGGACACTTTTAATAATTTTCTTAGCATTATAGAAGCATTGGAATGAATGTCCAGGGAAGTCATACTTTAAACTTCAGACAGGAAGAGATTTTGCATTGAACCTTGGCAAATAGAAAAATAATAAAATGTAGTTTATCACTAAATCTAAAACACATTCCAATTTTGTATCATTCATGATTAATTATAGATTCACTGTTGGTTCAATTCTGCACAATCTGCAGCAGTCTGGTTTTGTGAGCAAAGCAGAAACTCTCAAAAAGTTAAAAAAAATATATAAATAATAAATGCCTAAGACAAGAGAAACTTATCTATTAGATCATATAATGGTCTAAAGTTATACTTCATATTTGGATTTCTAATTAAAAACAATAGACAGCATTCCCAGCCATACAGGGTGTGTTTTTCTATTTAAAAATCATGGCACTCACTTTGGACAAAACAGGAAAGGACTGTGAGTGACGAGGAATGGGTGGGGATGACTTTCTGAGTGTTTTCCACTGACTTCATTCATCACAATAAACACTGCCAGGCAGACATGCAGAGAGCAGACTGCAGCAGTGACGGACTTTCTGCTAGTTAATTGAATAACACAGAGCAGGAGGCCGGAAGAAAACATTCACTCATTCTGTTGGATGTTTACTTGAAAGCAGTGAACAGCTACGACAAGAACTTAATAGTCACTGCAGGCTTCAGGATCCAGAAGTATGGAGGTCAGTATCTGCTGGAAAATGTGTCTTTTTTCACAATGAGAGCTATATGTGAAATGAAGCACCTTGCAATTAGGTGGCCTTGATTTAACCATTGTAAATGATACCAGAATGTTTTTTGTGTTAGAGCATTGTTGTATCATGGTATTACACATTTCCATTATGTGAGGGGCATCCTGTCCTCGTTCGAGAAATTAACCTCTAAATCACCAGAAATGGTAAGTGTGATTGTTATCTGATGATCTATCAAATGTTTTCTTTACCTCTAACCAGTGTAAGCATGGATTGTTACTTTTTACTGGCTGGATAAGGAATTTAGAACATTAGAAACTATCATCTGACCTCTCCAAATCACGAGACAAGGTTGAAAATTGTATAATTTTGTCACATTTATCAGTATCAAATGTACCGCATTATCACAGTAAAAAATGATATACTTTGTTCTAATGTAATGTTTTAGGAGTTTATCCGACATTCTTCCTGCTCAGCAATAGACGGTTAGGTCCACAAGTATTTGTCAGGCAGGATGTTGGGTCTCAGGATGTTTTAGTTTCCTCCTTTTCCCTGCTTAAAACAATAGCCGCTAAATACTGCAGCAACACTGTCTGGTTCAAGTGCATAACAGCCTTACTGTTAATACTTAGAGGGGTTTTTTTTGGCTTAGGAGGATTATTATTTCCAGGCAACAAAAACTTACATCATTTATGGCTGACAGTAAATTAGTACACATATACAGGGGCCCTAAATGGGGGAGACAAATAAGAGGATTCTGAGGGAGGCAGGAGCCAAAAACAAAACGTAAAACATAATTTCAATTTTTTTCATCGGGGCACCAAATCCCTGCTGGCACCCTATATGTGAGTATATTTGAAGGGGTGAAATTGCTTTAATAAATAGTTTTAAAAAAAAGCATCTTTGACTGAAATAAGGCCTACATCTCTGTGTACGTGCAGGATCTAGGCCTGGTAAGATGTGACAGCCTGGATACTGGGACAGGGTCTGACTGGGAGGTGATGGCCCCGATAGACCATTTGACCCTTGACCACGAGGGCTCTGAACCAGCAGCAGACCTGGAGCCTTCGCAAGCAGAACTGGCACAGTGTGAGGCAGAAGTGGGAACGCTGCTCAACATCATCGCTGAACTGAACAAGAAGATGGGCTCTTTAAAAGCTCCAAGGTAAGCTTATTGAAGAGACTAATCTGATGTGGAATAACCTATATTTAAATAAATGCAACAGTGTTGTATCCCATTGATACCGAATATATAAAACATAATGGTATTTAATGCAAAACTTAATTCTGCTTGTACTCTGCAGTGAATCAGGGGATCTGAGACCCCCAGGACCACCTGGGCCTCTAGTTCCTGACCTTTTGTCCCACAGACTGGCTAGAAGCAGCCCAGAGAGGACCACCGCATATGCAAGCAGCCGAACAAAAGGTTAGCTTTAACATTTTTAAAACTGAACATTTCTATCTAACCATGTGTTTTCAATGAAAGAACTGATCTCATCTTGTATAATATAAATGATCCCTCACTTTAACTTTAGGCTTTAATCTTTGCTTTTTTTCCCCACAAGGGGGCAGTAGTGTAATGTGGAGTAAACTGCAGGAGGTTTTATCTTCAGTGGAGACCTCCATCAGCTGCAAGCGGTCCTGGGCAGCCCCCATCACAGCTTTGGACCAGGACAAGCACAGAGAGCATCTAAGGGCGGCCCAGGAAAGCGGGGTGAAGGCCACTGAGGTAGTGAATTGTCTCAAATTACTTAAACTTTATTTTTAATATATTTGAATATTTTTAGAGCTTTAAATATCAATTATAACAATTTTTCTGAAAACTTCATTCACAATAATAAAGGTTCGAGCTAATGTGGAGTAGAAGAAAACTTGATTCCTAACCATTTCAAAAGATGCCTGACATTGTTTTATTGACTAGAGTTTTGATAATTTATTGTGCAGTATATTCTGTGGACTTCCACCAGCCCCTTAAATAATTTTTCTCTCTGAATGCAGATATTAGAGGACATGGAAAAAGTGTTTGGGATTTCATGCCCATCAGGCCCGTCAAAAGACCAGAATCAGGATTACAAACTGGATCTGGAGAAGCATGACTCTGCTGTCCGAAGCAGCCTTCAGGGTCACCAGGAGGAGCAGCAGAGAGCACAAAGCTCCATCAGTCAGATGGAGGAGGAGAGGAGCAAGGTTGGAGAAACTGTGTTTTAATCTTATTTAATTAAATGCCGAAAACATCGAGGAGTTTAGAAGCTGTGAGTAAATAAATAAACATAATTCTGAGATGACTTTGTGACTGCTATGTATGAAGCTCAAGGTTAGATTTAGAGAAAAGTCAGCATGATGAGCTACATTTGATGCTCATTGTTTTTCATACGAATAATGTAATACACACCATGTGCATATACACAATGGAGATAAACGTAGTCTTGTTTTAAAGAAAGGAACACATTTTATCCATGTGTAAAAATTGTGTGTATGGACAAGATTAAATGTCAAGAACACACACTGATCAAAAAAACAACTTCTCTTGTGTTTAAGCTGGTTGGTCTCCATAAATCCTGGAGGTCGGGGAGTCTCTCTCCCTCCTACAGATCCCACACTGGGCCTCTCAGTCCAGACTGGGCCTCTCCGCCATTCCCTGGTTCACCTTTACAGAGCAGAAGAACTTCCAGAGCTGTAACCCCTCTGTCCCTGGGTGGAGATGGTTCTCCTCTGGGCTCCGTTCACTCATGCAGTCCTTGTCCGAGCCCTGTCAGCCCAGAGTCAGAGATTGAAAGACTCAACAGGTGAGACTGAGGAGCAGATTAATAAGGTACAGCTCACCATCGAACACATACAGTATGTTACACTTTATTGAAAAGGTGCATTCTGTTGATTCAACTATTTCACACAATAAACATTGTAAATGAGTCAAAGGTCAAAAAACACATTCACATTTCTGAATAACATTTTTTGAATAACCATTTCTGCCTCAACTAATCATATCTACATTAACTACAACAAGTGGATATATTGATGTTACTTAGGGGTGTGTACAGGGGCGTGTCTAGAGGGGTGGTATGGGGCCCCCTTGAATTCAGTTTGGCCACCCCAAAATCCTAAACTATGATTGGCTATTTGACTTATCAGAGGCAGGACTTAAGGTAAAATCAGAAAACCAGAATTTGCAAGTAACGCCCTCTCTAACTTGCAATGAACTAACAATAAATGTATTTTTGCAAGTTGGAGTTTGCATGCATTTTTTTAAGTACTTGTGAGTTTGGACATACATCCAAAGTCATCAAAGAATAAAGCAAAGATTTATGTGTTGCCATTCTCTTGTGTTAGTTAAAAGAAGATATGATCAGTGGAGATAGAAATAAATCAAATGTATTAGTGTGTGCACACATAAAACTTCATGCCACCCTTATAATAGTCAATGCCCCAGGTTGGGCCTTTGTTCTTTTGTAATAAAATAACACAAGTTTCAGCAACAAACATCTTACATGCTTGATTTTTTAAGGACTTAAAAAAGTGTATCTCCAAAAGTT